TAAGTCAGAAAACGCTCACGCTCATGAGCGCTCATATGAGCGTGAGCAACCACCGCTCACGTGAGCGAACACTGCTCACATGAGCGTGAGCGTGAGCGGAAAAACGCGCATATGAGCGCTCATGAGCGTGAGCTGTACAGCCCTTATATATGATAGTCTTATCTATGTATTATGAAATGGAATGACGCTTTATTACGCATGCTTTGAAGGTAAAAACATCCGCTGTGTATGTAAAAAGCCAAGAAAAAGAAACCGTGAGGCCTTCAGATAAGAAAAAAAGCGCTGCAAACTATGTAAAACATCATAGTAAAGATGTATAAATTGTTACTTCTTTATTTACAAGCTTTCGACACTGTTTGTCCCATCTTCAGCTTAAAAAAATGATTTTACAATAGAAGAGATTTATATAGATTCGATTAAAACTCAAAGTCCAATGAATCATTAATCTTGTGGCTGTGGGCGTAGTTGTCTCCTCCCGAGCCTTATTTACACCCCCATCCTCTACAACTACACCCATCAAGGAGAAAAAAGCGGATCCCGAGATCCCAGGATCCAATTGGATCTTGTAAGGAGAAAAAAGCAGATCTCGGTGAATTCCATCGGATCTCGAAATCCAATGAGATCCATCAGAATCTTGGGATTCCAGGATCCACTTTTCCCCCTTGACGCCCACACCGACACTCATACTCACACCGACACGCTCACATCCTGTCTGATGGGTTGGACAGACAAACAAACATACGTACATTTTTTTATGTAACACCCTTTCTTTCAGAAAAGAGAATATCCTTCTATAAAAGGTTTTTTTTCTTATGTTTAGATCGTTTGATCATCAGGAGAACAGTGAGTATTCTTTTACAAAAATAAGTTTTCTCTGTTATTATTAGATCATTAAATCATTTCAGTTATCAATGAATATTATTTTATTAGAAATCCTTTTTCTTGTGCTGTTTACTGCGAATGGAAAGAATGAAATCCTCCCTATTTGCATCCACCAGAAACATGTATGAGTACAGTGGTAACGACAGTGGTATTCACGTCGAGACGAAGCTACAGAGTCGTAGACCCAAATACTATGACTAAGTCAAATCATCGAAAATATTATAGAATGGTCTCACAAATAGCACTACGATAGAAAAATGAAATAGCTTCAAATCGGCTCAATGAAATGTGTTGTTTTATTGGTTAGTGACAAAAGTTTATTGAAAGATTGTTTTTTCATACGGATCAAGTACGTAAATATTACTGCTAAGTATGGTTTTTGATATCATGAAAGAAATTTTTAACTATTATTAAGTAAAAAAAAATGCATTTGTAGCTTTTCATTGATAATATTCAGCTGTCTTCGAGAAGAACGATAAGAACAAGTCAAAACGAACTTTATGAATGAATTTGCATTAAAGCAAATAGAGCAAGTGTTAAACACTAGTCAGTTTAAATGCTGAAATTGGTGCCTCAGAAATACAACACACAAATTCAATCTTATGGGGTAGTAAAACATAAACGTTTTTGCAAAAAAGAGTATTTCGCGTTTCAGAACTGGAAATTTTATACTTGTTGACATATCGACTAACTAGTTTTAAAAAATTTGCTTTATGTGCATCAATACAGATTCATTCAAAAAGTTGTTTTTCACTTTTTCTTATTATTTTCCCAGATGACAACTAAAAATTCTCCATGAAATGCTACACACATATTTTTTCAGTTGGGAAAAGACAAAACTTCTTTCATGAAGTCAAGAATAATACTTAACAGTCATATTTCCTTGCCCGATCCGTATGAAAAAAAACTTCCAATAAACTTTTACCACGAACCCATAAAACGTCTCGTTTAGTTGAGGCGATGTGAAGGTGTTTCATTTTTTTTTATTGTACTGTTATTTGTGGGACCATCCTGTCTTTTATTAATCGTAATTTTTTTATGACAATCATCAAAAAATCGGCAAAGACCGCCATTTTAGGCGGTTAAATCGCCAATTTTTTCACGATTTTGTTGTCATGGATGCTGATATATCCTTATTGTCAATTAAAAAAATTCAGCGAAGATGATAACTTTCCGTAGCAAAGTTAAACTTCTTATTTCTTCTACTCTCAGTTTATAAAGTTCTGCCAAATATTACGACTTTTCAATCTGATAGGAGGCAGCATTTTTTAAATGTGTGACTCGATTTGATAGACTCAACTAAGTTTGCTGTGAGCATTTCGGAAAGAGAAAAAACCAGTACTATGATTTCTACTGATTGATATTAAAAATCTACACACAGCCAGCTCACATTATCCGGCTTATTGGGAGATGGTATCATCTGATTACAATCTTGTTAGATAACTAAACGAAAAAAACAAATAACTTAGATCCATGCAAAAGTTTTATATTTTAGTTTTATGATTTTACCTATAAAAGCTAAAGATTAGAGGGAAATCATTATCTCGGATAAATGTGAACATCTAGTTCTTTTATTCTTTCACACGACATTCTAAATACTAGTAAATTCAGTAAAAAAAGTGATAGAATAATATTCGTTTTAGATTGCCAAAAACACTCTTACATTTAATAAATAAATCGAATAGACAGCATCCAAAAGTTTTATTCTATTCAACCTCGATCTACATGGCCAGTTCTGTTCAGCCAACTGATAACTTTCATACAAACGCCGATGAAATGAATCTTGACATGTTCCGTCTTATCTGGCTCGATGCTAATACAAATGTTGCAGATGCTCGAAGTACAGAACAAAAGTTACTTTCTATCATTAATCAACTCAAGAAACTCCGAGATGTAGAAGAATGTCAAAAATATATTGAAGAGCGATCAAAAAGCGATCGACTAATCATGATTGTTAGTGGTTCATTGGGACGGAAAATAGTCCCTTCTATTCACAGATTTCGACAAGCTATATCAATCTATGTGTATTGCATGGATGAGGAAGGTAACAAGAAATGGGTTGACAGATATCCAAAAGTAAAATTATTTCGAACGATTTCAGTTTCATGTTACCGTTTCTTTTTTTTTGATAGGTGAAAGCCGTTGCTGCAGAACTTGATGAACTCATTTCTCAAATTAAAAAGGATCATAAAATTCAGAAAACCATAGAAGAATCTTTATCAATTAATTATTTTACTAGAAATTCTGACCCTGGCAAATCAACAGCTGACTTAAATGGTAAATTTGTTTTTTCTCAAGTTCTAATTGATTGTCTTCTACGACTCAAAACCAACAAAAAAGATATACAAGAACTTATAAATCGTTGTAAACAACAATATAACGGTAATAGTGTCAAGTTAAAAAATATTTGTGAATTTGAAAACAGTTACTCATTCGACAAAGCTTTGTGGTGGTATACACGACAATCGTTCTTTTACAAGACTTAATGTGGTTCTACGGACCGAAAATATTCCTATGATTTTTTTTATTTCGGTCATTCATCTCTGATATTCAACGGGAATTGAAAAATCATCAAGCTAAAAGTCCTCTGCGAGTTTATCGAGGGCAAATTATATCAAAAAATGAACTGAAAACTTTAAAACAGTGTCGTGGTCAGTTTATTTCCGTGAATTCATTTTTTTCTACTAGTATTGATTATCGACAAGCCCTATCATTTCTCAATGCTCCTGATGATACAGACAATTTCAAATCAGTATTATTTGAAATCGATGCCAATCCAACTGTGGCCACTATGAAACCATTTGCTGATATCAGTAATTATAGTGAATTTCCCGGCGACTCAGAAATACTTTTTATGCTTGGCTCTATTTTTCGTTTGGTCAACATCGAGTACAATAGTGATGATCAAGTATGGATCATTCAAATGACTTTATGTAGTGAGAATGAACATGATTTAGAAGAAGTTCGCATGCATATAACACAACAACTTGGTGATGGAGAAACAAATCTTCAAACATTAGGAAAAGTATTATGGGAGATGGGAAAACCTGATCTGGCTGAAAAATATTTTATGCGCTTCTTAGAACAACTTCCACCAAATGCTCCTTTACTTGTTAGTCTGTTCGAGGATCTTGGCAAACTCGCGTCACAGAACCATCAGTATGACAAGAGTGTTCAATGGCATCAAAAAGCTATCGCTTTCAAAAAAGTCAATCAATCAATTGCAAGTTTAAATACTAATAAAATAATTAATTCTAATAGTATGTTCAATTAAAGACAAGTAACGCGACGCAAACGTCGCTAACCCTCTACTGAAAGGAACTATACCATCATGCATACCATGTGTGAACAAAGAGCTATAGGCCAGAGATCTCAGGCTCGCCGAGTTTCTCTGCCTTGCCACGAAGCGAGATGAGGCAAGATTTTCCGCACCACGAAAAGTGTGAGTTGATTTCAAGACTCGCCGAGTTTCTCCGCCTCGCCATGAAGCGAGATGAGACAAGATTTTCCGCACCACGACAAGTGTGAGTTGATTTCAAAACTCGCCGAGTCAACTCGGCTACTTAAAATGTAATTGTTGGTGATTAAATAGTAAATCATTAATGTTATCTCTCGATTTTATTGTTCACTTCCGAAAGAATTTCTATTGGTGATGAAGTTAAACTAATCACAACAATAAATGAATATGAATATTTACGTAAACATAGTTATCTATTTGGTCTGTCGAATAATTTGATTTAGATCCCAAACAGACTGACTCAATTCAAAATGAATTAAGAAACATGATTGGTGTTACCATGTAACGACGTCAATAACATTGGTTAATTGACTTTAAATTAATTCAGTCTGTTTGAAGCCTTACACAATTACCATTGTGAATTTAACTAATGTGACCTTTGCTATGTTAGCTAGTAGAAATTTTTACGATAAAAGTTTTAATCTAGATACGTATTATTGCTCGGCAAACTATTGTTCTTCTTCAAATCATATTGTCGATATAACAAAAGAAACTTGTTCAGATTCTCGCAATGCTGATCATACATTATCCGATATTTCTCGAATGTCCTGTAGAAGGATTTATAATTGATTCATGCGTAAAGATGGAAATCAAACAATAGTCGAAAATAGGAAGAAACATACGACAAGTTACTAGTCTCGGTTTGGTGTTCCAGCTGTTAGTGACAATTAAAGTGTTGTGGTGATAAAATTAAACAACCTTGTCTCATGTAAGCATCGCTATATAACATATTCTTACAATAATAATAGCATCTCGCAAATGAAAAAGTACATTTGTGGATGTTCACCAATAAGATCTTCAAAACACCCTGATACAACGTTCTCATCACTTTTAAAACAAAAAATGTTTTCTTTCACCTGTAATCGCCGAGAATCGATCAAAATAAGCGAAGAAAAAAGAAAAGAAAAAGAAAACCTTCTTATAGAATGGTTTTGTACAAATGTCAGACTATACTCGACGGTTAATAATCAAAGACTTCAACTTTTTGTTCAACAATATATTTCTTTGGGTATTGCATAACCTATTCTTAAATACTCTTTTTCCATTCTCTTATTTTACTCTATAGAAACTATGGATTTCCATTCTTTTATTGTGAAACACGATCTGAAAGGAGTGTTGAAGTGTTTAGGGGTAGAAATTTGCACCCCCTTCCCCCCCCCCCCCCCCTCAGACCGTGACAGACATCTTAATTAATTAATTAGTATTTATTTATTTAATTAATTAGTATTTAATTAATTAATTAATTAGTATTTAATTAACTAATTAACCGTCACAGACAGGCTTTACACCCATCACAGACCATGACAGACAGGCTTTAGACCCATCACAGACCGTGACAGAGAAACTGTAGTTCTAAACCATCAGATAAACGGTTCGCTACAAATGTATTGCAAAGAAATGGAACAAAACGATTTCCATTTAATTAGTAGCAGCAGATCCATCGTGTTTCACATTTTTAATTCCGCAAGGGATTGCGCTAACAGCTTTTTTACTCTATAGAGGCAAACTATGGAAAATTCATGTAGGTAACGTATTTTTTGATGATAATACTATTTCGTCTCACGTCGAAATATTAGCTAATTAATATAGATCTGAATTTTGACAAAAACGTATTAAACCATTATCACTGCATTATTTATTCGTATCTCATTTGTATTTTTGTTTTTTGCACTTATCTATATGTATGAAATGTACTTAACTTGATCAAAAGAAATAAGCTAGATAGTGATTATTGTGGTTGGTCGAAGAACTTCCTTAAAAAAACCGCTTTTATAATAGACCGTAGGCGAGACGAGGCGAGGCAGCAATGGATAACTTGTTAGTATTGCGAGGCGGTGGCGAGTCGCAGTTTTGGTTGACTCGCCAATCTCTGCTATGGACCTACTACTCTCGCATATAGTTAAGGGGACCCCCCCTTTCCGGCGTTTCTAAGAAATGACCTAACGAAAATTCCTGAAACTTTCAGGGTAGATAGACCTCGAGTAGTAGAGCAAAAGTTGTCATAGACACAAATTTGCCAGACGTCGTTTTCGTGGACTTCCAGAGACCCCAAGGTCAAAAATTTGCAAAACGTTTTGCCCCCTCCCCGCAACTCCACAGATTTCATCCGTTTGAGCTGAAATTTTTACTGTGGGTAGACGGACCCAATCGGGGTGGACGTTTTTTTCTTTTTTCAAAAATTCCAAATACTTCAGGCTGGAGAACCAAAATACTGAACACTTCGCAAAATCTCTAGGTTTTTTGGGTCCTAAAAATTTTGCGAAGCGTGCCAAACTTGATTGTTAGAAGGTATCCAAAAAAAAAAAAAAAACGTCCAACCCAAATCACTTGAAGTCTCACCAAAAAAATTTTCAACCCGATCGGACTTGAAATGGCGGAGAAAAGGGGGGGCAAAACTGTTTTTTGATACCCAAAAAACTGGTTTCGAGAAAAATGCAACGAAATTTGTGATTTTTGGTTTTTTCAGCATATTTTGTGGTTTTTTTCGAGTTTTTGTATATATAAGATGTGGGTTTTCAGTTCTCAAAGTGTGCTCAACGGATAGAGGGTATTGAAATCTATATACTGATCACAAAAAATGAAAAACGAAAAATGTGAAAATTTTGAGTCGGGAAAAGGGGGGGTCCCCTTAAATGAACAAAAATTAAAGAAACAATCAACAGATACATATGAATATGATAAAGTTTCTAAAACGACCAAAAAACTGTAGACCAGTCATAAAGCAAGTTTTCACACATCAATCGGCAAGCTGTTCTCAAGCAGCATTAACAAAGTATTGACAGTCACTAATTGTTCATACAGGCAAAACATCCTACATGATTGATAAGAAACTTTCTTACTCTCATGTTTCTGCTATATTTCAGCGATACATTTTTGGCTTCCCTTAAAAATGTATAATTAAAAACTGTTGGAAGTAAAAGAGAACTGCTATATATAGTTCGTAACATTTTTCAGCTCAAATATTGGATGAAGCATGTCAAAAATGAATTGGTCTTGATGTAAATTATTTTGACTTGATACTCCTCATGACTTGACAATGACAGCTGAGTCAAGTGAGATCTATATCGCCAACTAAATTTTTCATTGATTCACATTCCATAAAGTATCTGAGTAATTCTATGGAGTTCCTCCTGATGTTACATGTGTGATCGCCGATTGGTCTTCAAATGGAATCATTTGATAGAAATTTTTACGCTGACCATTTCGATTATCAAAAAGTCTGTCATTGATCGTAGAATTAGAGAAAAATTCACAAAATAAGAAACCATGCATTTTTGATTATTTTTTCTGACTTCAAATGTAATTATTTTCATTATTTTGGCGAATACGAATCTAAATATTTTTTTAATTAAAATGTCAACTTCAGATTCGTGTGTAACATTGGAAAATCTTCAAAGTCATCTACTTTTCCATGTAATTTAATTTATTTTTACTGGAATCTCATCAGCTACTCTTTTTCGCTCAATAGCTAAAACATGCGAAAATGTTTGCTTATCTTCTCATTCAAAAATGGAATTCATGCAGAAAGCCCGATATACAGATTTATAGACGATCTTTTGCTCTATGGACTCGTATAAATAACTTTTATGGATATGTCATTTCCTATGAAAATATGAAGAAAAACAAAAAAATGCTTCTGTTTCTATATTTTTAGTAGTAGAGATTTTACATTGTTCAACTATTTGCTCTTATATTTTACGATCAACAATAAAAATCAGCATTAAAAACTACGTTAAATGAGGTATCTTGCGTCAGGTACAATTATTTCGTATGTAGTCTTGGTAAACAGATATTAATTCTACACTTATGTTGCTCCTACATAAAACTTTGCTAAAATCAGGTATACCATAGTGAAACTTTCTTTCTATATAGTCTTATAGAAAAAAAGCTCTATCTTTATATACGATATGATAATACCTGAAATAATATCCTAATGGTAGACTTACAATAAGTGTCGCGTAATCATAGATGCTGCTTCTATTAGTACTCATTTTGAAAAGTGGGAGTCAATATTTTGTGAAATTCACGTATATTTTCGAAGAAAATAGTGAGTGTAAGTTTTAAGAGCAAGGCTTTCCGGCTTTCTCTCCTCCACTCCATTGCATATACATAGCAACAGTGAAGAAAACATTAAAGATATACCCCAATTATAGACACCTCTTCATTACAGACCTCAGCAACCGCGCACAAAAGAACTTATTTTCTATAAAATATTCTGATGCATTCATAAATTTAGAAAAAAAACGTCCTTTTTTTGTTTACAAGAAATGCACTAGGATAACCACTTGGAAGGATATACGTCAGTTCCGCATCTCAGCTTCAAAGGAGCTGTGTTGACAAGCTTTACTGAATAACTATTGATAAAAACAAGGTAAGGAAGTGCGGTTTCCGCGGTTCGAAAGGGAGGAGAGATGAGGACGATCGAACTATATGTTCCAGATTTTTCTGATCTGTTTTTTGTAAAATACTCCAATAAACTTTTTAAAGACAAAATTATCTAATAGGTAACGCTCATCTGTATGACTCGCGCGGCTACGGGTCTTACAGTTCAGCTCTAGCTCCACCTCAAAGAACTGTCCAAACAGCTCTTCTGATATCAGTTGATCTTTTTGAACATTTCTTTCTAGAGGAGATCAGCTGTTTGAACAGCTCTTTTTCACGAACTGATCTTTTCGAATAGCTCTATTCAAAAGTGCTGATCTGACCAAACAGCTCTCTTTCCTGAACTCGTCTTTTTGAACAGCTCTTTTCAAAAG